TTCTTGATTTTTTGTTCATTTTGGGGTGTTTACATAATATTCGGCCTCTTTTGGTAGTTGCGAAAAGAAGTGATGTTTCGTTGTTAAATTTATCACGATATTCTAAGATCATTTGTGCAAGTCGATTTTTTATTAAGGCATTTTTTGTGTTGTTTGTATGTGTTTCTTGATTTGTTTTTGCTATTTTGGGGGCATCTACGTAATATTTTGTCATTTTTGGGTAGTTACATAAAACTAAAGTTTTGTACTTTTATTCTTCATAAAATTCTAATGTCATTGGTGCAAGTCGAAATTTTTCTGAGACGTTTTTTTATTGTTGATATGTGTTTCCTGATTTTTGGCCATTTTGGGGCATTTACGTAACATTTTGTCATTTTGTGTCATTTACGAAAAGAAGTAAAGGTATTATACTATTCTTCACGATATTCATAGTTCACTGATGTAACTCAGTATTGTTTTGAGGTATTTTATGTATTGTTTATGTGTGCTTAATTTTCGGCCATTTTAGGACGTTTACGTTATATTAGACCATTTTTCGGGTAGTTCTGAATAGAAGTAAAGTTTTGTTTTATTTTTTGTCATGATATTCTAAGTCCATTGGTGCAAGTCAAAATCGTTTTGAGGAGTTATTTGTATTGTTTATGTGTGTTTCTTGATTTTCGTTCATTTTGAAGCATAAGTTATGAAAAAAGTGAAGTTTTGAATAGTTATTAGTAATGAAATTCTAAATTTATTTGTGCAGGTTGAAATTCTTTTGAGATGTTTTTTGTATTGTTTATGTTTGTTTCTTGATTTTTTGGTCATTTTTTGCTTGTTGCAAAAACAAGTATGATTTTTTCTATTATTCGTCACGATATTCTAAGGTCATTGGTGCAAATTCAAAATTTTATGTGTTTTTTGTGTTGCCTATGTGCATTTCTTGATTATCCAACCTTTTGGGGGAATTTATGTTATATTCGATCATTTTCAAGTTGTTACGAAAAGATGTAATGTTCCGTTATTTGTCATCGTATTCTAGGGTCGTTATTGCATGTCAAATTTTTTTTGAAGCATTTTTTGTATTGTCTATGTGTGTTTCTTGATTATTCGGTCATTTTGAGGGATTTGAGTAATACTCAACCATTTTTCAGGCATTTACGAAAAGAAGTAAAGCTTTATTCTCTTATTTATCACGATATTCTAAGGTCACTAGTAAAAATAAAAAAATTTACGAGTTTTTTCTATTACTTATGTTTGTTTCTTGAATTTTCATTATTTTTGGGCATTTACATAATATTCAGTCATTTTTCAGGCTATTACAAAAAGAAGTTAAGTTTTGTTCGGTCATTCGTCATGATATTCTAAGTTCGTGGGTGCAATTTGAAATTTTTTTGTGAGGCACTTTTTATTGTTGATGTGTGTTTATGGATTTTTCGACCAATGTTGGGCATTTATGTAATATTCAGCCATTTTCAGGCAATTACGAAAAGAAGTAAGGTTTTGTTCTATTATTCATTATGATTCTCTAAGGTCACTGGTGCTAGTTAAAAAAGTTTAAGGTCTTTTTTTGTATTGTTTGAATGTTTCTTTATTTTTTGGTCATTTTAGACATTTACGTAAAATTTGATCATTTTCGGGCAGTTTTGTAAAGAAGTAAATTATTTTTTGTTATTTGTCATGAAATTCTAAGGTCATTGGTGCAAGACAAAAAGTTTTGACACAATTTTTATATTATTTATGTGTTTCTTGATTTTTTGGCCATGTTGTAGCATTTACGCAATATTCGGCTAGTTATGAAAATGATGTTAAGTTTTGTTCTCTTACTTGTCGCGATGTTCTAAGGTCATTGTGCAAGTCAAAAAAATTATGAGGTGTTTTTTCTAGTATTTTCGGCCATTTTCAGGCAGTTAGGAAAAGAAGTAAAGTTTTCTTCCGTTATTCGTCGTTATTTTCTAAGGTAATTGGTGTTAATCAAAAATTTTCCGAGGCTAAACTAGTATTATTTATGTGTGTTTCTTGATTTTTTGATCATTTACTTGATATTCGGCCAATTTCGAGAAGTTACGAAGAGATGTAAAGTCTTGTTATGTTATTCATCACAATATTCTAAGGTCATTGGCGCAAGTCAAAATTTGTTAACAGTGTTTTCTTGCATTGTTTATGTGTGTTTATTATTTTTTCAGCCATTTCAAAATACTTACATAATATTCGACTATTTTGGGGAAATTACGAAAAGAAAAAAAGTTTTGTTATGTTAATTGTGTTGATATTCTAAGGTCATTGGGGCAAGTCAAAAAATTTGGAGGTGTTTTTTTGTATTATTTTATGTGTGTTTCTTGGTTTTTCAGTCATTTTGGGATAGTTACATAATTTTTGATATTTTTGGTAAGTTACAAAGAGAAGTAAAATTTTGTTTAGTTATTCATCACGATATTCTAATGTCACTAGTGCAAGTCGAGACTTTTTTGAGGTTTTTTTGTATTGTTTCATGTGTCTATTGATTTTTCTCCCACATTGGGGAAATTATGTAATATTATGGCAGTTAGGAAAAGAAATAAAGGTTTGTTCTGTTATTGATCACGGTACTTTTAGGTCATTGGTGCAAGTCCAAATCTTTTTGAGATGTTTTTTGTATTATTTATTTGTATTTCTTAATTTTTCGGCTATATTGGAGAATTTACGATATATTCTGCATTTTTGGGCATTTACAAAGACAAGTAAGTTTTGTTATGTTATTCTTCACGAAACTCTAAGGTCATTAGTGCAAATCGCTAATTTAGGTATTTTTTTTTGTTGTTTATGTGTGTTTCTTGATTTGTGGTTCATTTTCGAGTGATTACGAAAAGAAGTAAGCTTTTTTTATCCTATTGGTCACGATATTCTAAGATCACTAGCTCAATTAAAAAAAATTTGAGGTGTTTTCATATTGTATATGTTGGTTTCTTTGATTGTTTGGTCATTTTGAGCATTTACTTAATATTCGGCCATTTTCGGACAATTGAGAAAAGAAGTAAAATATTATTATATTATTCATCACAATATTCTAAGTTCATAGGTGCAATTCAAACTTTTTTAAAGGTTTGTATTGTTTGTGTTTCTTTTATTTTTGGTCATTATTGGGCAATTACAAAAAGAAGTAATGTTTTGTTCTGTTATTCATCATGATATTATAGGGTCATTGGTGTTAAGTCAAAAAATTTGAGGCATTTTTTGTATTGTGTTTGTGTGTTTCTTGATGTTTCGATAATTTTGGGGCATTAACGTAATATTTTGTCATTTTTGAGCAGTTACAAAAAGAAATAAAATTTTGTTATCTTACTCATCACGATTTTCCATTGTAATTGGTGCAAGCAAAACAAATTCGAGGCATTTTTTTATTGTTCATGTGTGCTTGATTTTTTGGTCATTTGGGGCATATACACAATATTTGGTCATTTTTCAGGCAGTAACGAAAAGAAGTAAAGTATTGTTCTTTTAATCGTCACGATATTATTAGGTCATTGGTGCATGTTATAACTTTTTTTGAGGTATTTTTTGTACAGAAAAGGGCCTAAAATATCCTTGAAGTATTGGAAATGGTATAAAACTACCCTTCATCCACCTATTGGCTCCAAAATATCCTTTTCATCCACCTATTGACTCCAAAATACCCTTGTCATCAACCTTTGGTTCAAAATTGATCAATTATTCAACTATTTTAAATTTAAATTGTTTAAATACTTTTTAATTGCTTAGCGCTCAATTATTGGTTATAATTTAATTTATAAACCAACTCACTACCCACTAATTACTAATTTAACCCCACACAATTAATAAACTAATTATAATACCAAAATATTTTACACACTACTAAAACACGACAAAGTTATAGATTCCTATAAATAACATCCAAAATTATTCGAGTTCGAATGGAAGTCCCGATTAAATTTAGGTTGAGCCGCTTATTTAGGAGGACAATTTCAATAATATTCTCTTTCAAACTTCAATTCGAAATTTATGATTAAACATAAAGAAGTAGTACATGTCGGATTAATTCATGCACGTTTTTAAAATATATTTACTAAGTATAATGATTTGTTTTAAATATTAAAACTTCAATATATTATTTTTTAGAAAATTTTTTTGTTAAGCAACATCACATAATTGAAACGAAGGAATAATTAAGATGAACATAGTCAAACTTTTAAATTCATCGATAATTTTTATTTAGAAACTTGGATTTTAACAATTTTTGATTGAGTACTTGAATTTATGATACTTTACTTCTATAGACATTTTTACCTCAATTTTTTTGAAACACTCATTGGCACTTGATTTTCTATTGTTGCATTAGTGACGGGGCAGATTTATTAATTGGTGGGGTTAATTAATAACGGTTGGATAGTGGATTAATTTATAAATTATATTAATAAGTTAAATTATAACAAATAGTTGAGCGCCACGTATTTTAAAAAAATATTTGAATACGTTAAATTTAAAATCATTAAATAAGTAGTCAACTTTGAACAAAAGGTGGATGACAAGGGTATTTTGGATCCAATAGGTGGGTGAAAAGGATTTTTTGAAGCCAATAGGTGGATAGAGGGTAGTTGTGTACCATTTCTAATATTTCAAGAATATTTTAGGTCATTTTCCGTGTATTACTCGACAAAAGGTATTCTATTAAAAATAAGCTCTATAGTTTTGCTAGCAAGTCCATTCTATACTGACTTCTTACAAGTTATGACAGCTAACACAATAAGTTCACAGAAAAATAAGTTGTGTTAACAGGAAGAAAATGTCTACTACCAAAAATAATGTTGCTTGCCAAATCCATTTTTTGTACCTTGGTTTTCAAGTGATAATTCCTTGCTTTCCTTTAAGGTTAGCAAGAAAACAATTCATGTGTTGAGAAAATCTACAACTTTGTTAGAATTCTTTTGCTTCTATATGTTTGTTCCACTAAGTAACGCGAAGATTAAAACTTGATCAGACTATTCCTTCTATATGTTTGATTCTTTTTTTTTGTAACTCTTTGTATCTTGTGGAAAAGACCAAAATTTTGGTATTTGAAGCGAAAGGTTGAATCTTTTTGTTAGTGAAAAACATACTAGATAACAAAAAAAATTAGAAGATTACAATTGAAAATAAAAATGAAGAAAATAAATATCTTCAAGACTGAGGCGCGGATATCTTGCTATCTTTAAGGAGATTCAAGTCCACTGCAGCAAATGTTTTCACCGGTCAAGCAGTAGTCCTCTTTGACTTGTCCCCTCCAGGATACAACAGCCTTCACAAATTATAACTCAACAACCCTGGACAAAATTTGACTCCAAATCTCCACAAAAAGAACACCTCCCTTCAACTAATAAGAACTCTCTTCTAGACTATACTTTCACTCTATGTTTTTTCTCTTGTGTATTGTGTATCTCAAACCAAATGAAGACCACCACTATTTATAGTTGGAGATGTCTTCCTAGCAATGAATAGAAAAATTATGATGTAGTAAATAGTGTACATAATGATCTTAGGAGTTACATAAGTTAATAGAGCAATTGAGAGTGACAATGAAGTCAGCACAAATGTCATCAACGACTAATGCCATCAAAGGCATTTCGCATAACTGCAATACAAATGACATTGAGAAATGCATAACAGAAATGCATATGACAATGAGAAATGTACTAATGCTTATGGCACTAACTCCAATAGATTAATGTCGTTACTCCCACATTATGCCAGTGAATATCCACAAGCGTACGTGTAAATGAAACAAAGAAATGGTCAATATGAGAATCTATATATGCACATTTTTTTAAATATTAAAACCCCCCTACACTAACAGTCCCCCATTCATTTTAATATTTAGAGAAGAGAGTATATCAGTTAAAGGAAGACTACTATGCATAATGAAGTTGTGATCTGCATTGAATCTTCACTTAGTGAAACAGTAACTTTTATTCCAAAGTCGTAGTGGTCTCAGACTTTAAATATCACTGCTCACACATAATAATAAAGGTATTGACTTGAGCTTTAACAGCCAGCATGTTATGGTCATGTGATATCCCAGTTTCATGAGTTCATCTGAGAATAAGCCACATTCTCATAGGAAGCGACCTACTTCCACACATCACATAGGTGAAATCTGTTGAGAGTGCTCCTGTAAGTTTAATACTCCACCCATATGGGATAAAGATATTCATTAAGAGTTCTATCAACTCAACCTTCACAAAGTACAAGAAATAATGCACCCACATCATAGGGAAGGAATAAAATGATATTGCATTTTTCACAACAAGTCATCATATGATTAGTTTTTTTCCTTTGAACCTGGTTGTAGGATCTCTAGTCCCCAGGTTGAGTTTCGTCATTTATGACTCAAGGATTTGTAGACTTCAATCTCATCCCCCTCGATGTGCTTCAGACCTTTTCTCTTGTTAAGGCCTTCGTAAGAGGATCTGCAAAATTGTCACAAGATTTGACATAATCAACATTAGTGGTACCATTTGTCAAATACGATCTTACATTATTGTGTTTCCTCCTTATAGGTCTGGATTTACCGTTGTAATAATGATTTTAAACTCTACCAATTGCAGTCGTGCTATCACAATGAATAAAAATAGGAGGAATTGGTCTTTCAAAATAAGGAGTTTAAAACAACAAATCTCTTAACCAATTCGCTTCCTCACTAGCTGAAGCTAAAGCAATTAGTTCAGCCTCCATGGTAGAGAACAATTATAGCTTGCTTTTTTGATCTCCAACAAACAGCACCACCACATAAACTAAAGACATAACCAGTGGTAAAACAAGAATCACCTGACAAAGTGTTCCAATAAGCATCATAAAAGCCTTCAAGTATAGCAGGATATTTTTTTATAGAACAAACCACAATTTTTTGTTCCAATTAAATATCTCATAACTCTTGTTATAGCATGTCAATGTTCATTACCTGGCTTGCTTGTAAACCTTTCAAGTACTCCTACTTCATATGCAATATCAGGCCTAGTGCAACCAGTCACATATCTCAAACTTCCGATTATACTAGCATATTCCTTTTGATTTATTACATCATATTCACTTTCAGTAATAAATAAGCGAACACTTGAATCAAAAGGACTAGCAACATGCTTGCAATCATGAAAGTTATATTTTTTCAAAATTTTCTCAACGTAATGTGACTGGTCAAGGAAAATCCCCTCACATGATATTGTTATTTTTATTCCAAGAATAAAATTTGCCTCACCAAGATCTTTCATATCAAAATGGCCTCTAAGAACATTTTTAGCTTCATCAATAACATTCATGTTAGATTCAAAGATCAACAAATCATCAACATATAGGCCAATGATCATATGTGAATTATTCCAAGACTTATGATGTATGCACTTATCATACTCATTTGTTTTAAAAGAATTTTCAATCATGCAGGAATCAAACTTTTCATGACATTGCTTTGGTGCATGATTCAAGCCATATAGAGATTTAGTAAGTTTACTTATTTTGTTTTCTTGGCCTACTTTAACAAAACACTCAGGTTGGTCCATATAAATTTCTTCATTTAGGTCTCCATTTAGAAAAACTGTTTTTACATCCGTTTGATGAATTTGCAAATAAAAAATTGCAGCCATAGCAACTAAAAGTCTAAGGGGTGTAATTCTTGTTACCGGAGAAAAAGTATCAAAAAATTTTAGGCCTTCTAGTTGTTTAAAACATTTTGCAACTAGCCTAGCCTTATATTTATCAATAGATCCATCCGGTTTCATCTTTTTCCGTAAGACCCATTTACAACCAATTATTTTACAACCCGGTGGTAAATAAACTAACTTCCTAGTTTTATTTAAAAAATTAGAGATATCATTTCATCATTTACAACCTCTTTCCAAAAAATAGAATCATGTGAAGATAATGTTTCTTTCAAAGTTAGATGGTCATCTTCAACATTAAACACATAAAAATATGGACCAAATTCTTTTTCCACTCTAGCTCTTTTACTTCTTCTTAACTCAAAATCATTAACTTCTTTATTTTTCAAAGTAGAAGTAGAAAAACTAGGTAGTGACAAAATATTTTGTTCAATTCTTTGACCCCCACTATTTTTAGTATCAAAAGGAAATTTATTTTCATGAAATTAGCATCACCTGATTCTATCACAATATTATCTTCAAGATTAAAAAAATCTATAGGTTATACCATTTGAAGAATAACCAAGAAAAACACAAGTAGTAACTTTCTTACCCAACTTTGTAATCTCGGGATCCATTGGCCTCACAAAGGCTAGACAACCCCAAACTGTTAGATATTCAAACATGTCTTGTAACCTTTACACAATTCAAAAGGTGTTAGTTTTGACTTTTTTTTAGCACATGATTCAATACATAACAAGAAGTTTAGATAGCTTCACCCCAAAAATTTAAAGGTACATATGACTCAATAAGCATGGAGATAAGTTTTAAAATTTGCAAAAGCATCACATTTATTTTTCATCAAGTAAACATATGTTAACTTAGAAAAATCATCAATAAAAGTGATAAAATATCTATTACCTCCACGAGTTAGAATTCCACCAAGTTCACAAATATCAGTATGAACTAATTCTTACAAATCAGTTTTTGTTTCAACTTGAAAATGAGTTCTTTTAGTGATACTGGTTTTACTACAAGCCTAACACTTTGGGATTAAACCTAAACTACTCATGATTCTAACATAACGATCATTAATATGACACAAACGAGCATGCCAAGAAAATTAGTAGACGAAAACATATAAGCAGAAGTAGAAGTTTTATTCATTTGAACATTCAACTTAAACATCATATCACATACATACCCCTTCCCCACAAAAATATCTTTTTTCACTATTACATATTGATTAGATTCAATAATCTTTTTAAAGTATGCTTTATTAAGAAGAAAACTAGGCATCAAATTTTTTATCATAGAAGGAGTATAAAGTACATCTTTCAATGTTAATATCCTTCCAGAAGTAAAACACAATTCAACATCTCCCTTTCCAAGCACTTGAGTAGTGTGACCATCACCAAGCATAATGGTTTGGGCTCATCAAAATGAGTATTTTTTTTAAACCAGTCTTTGTCATAACAGACATGACGGTTTGCACCAGAATCAGCCCACCATCCATCAACATTCTCAACCATGTTTATGTCGGTAATCACCGCCACAAAAGGTTCTTCGGTAACTTTTGCCTGAGGGTTAGGATCACGTTTATGGAATCTGCAAAATCGAGCAATATGCCCACTCTTGCCACAAACAAAGCATGGTCCCTTTTCTTGAACTTGTTGATTTTGTCCTTGGTAATTTTCACCATTATTTTTCTTGGGAGGTCTAACATTATTTTTCTTGAATTTTTTGTTCTTAGGCTTTAAAGAAGTATTTTTGTGAGTTTCAGGAGTAGCATTCTTCAAAGTAATTAAATTTACCTTCGATGAGATGTTGTTTTCTTCTGTTTGTAAAAGCGCATCTTGTCCCCTTGCTTCTTATTCCATGCAGATTTTCATTATCAAGGTTTAAGAGAGGTTTTCTTTTGTTTGTAACGCATAGTTTTCTGAAATTCCTTCCAAGAAGGTGAAAGTTTATCCACTATGCCACAAACAATAAGGTTATCTCCAATTTTAACCTCTTCGGACCTAAACTCTCCATAAATTATGACGAAGTCTTGAGCTTGATCTACCACTTATTTGTTGTCCACCATTCGAAAATGAAAAAATCTAGCTGCATATTTTTTCGCTTCAGCCTCTTCGGTATCATACTTACTCAACAATGCCTTCCAAATTTTCTTTGCACTAGAGTAAGTTCTATCATAATAATCATAAAAATTATAAGATAGACAATTAAGTAGATAATACCGACAGTTAAATAAATCACCATCGTACTTTTGCACTTTCTCTAGATGAGAAATAATTTCATCATCATTCATAGTGGTGATGTCTTCTTTATTTGGATTCTTCTCGGTTAATACATAAGAAACATTGAGAAGACTTAAGTAGAAAAGTACTTTACCCTTCCATCTCTTGAAATGGTTACCATTGAACCGAAATGGCTTGTTAAGGTCTCCCATCTTGACATCCACGATTTTTTCAATTGTAGTCCTCTTTGAATCTCCTTAAAATTGTTAGTGAAAAACACACTAGATAACAAAAAAAATACAAGATTACAATTGAAAATAAAAAATGAAGAAAATTAATCTCTTCAAGATTAAGGCGCGGATATCTCTCTCTTAAAGGAGATTCAAGCCTACTACAACCAATGTTTTCACCGGTCCAGCAGTAGTCCTCTTGATTTTTCCTCTCCAGAAAACAACAACCTTCACAAATTATAACTCAACAACTCTGGACAAGAGTTGAGTCCAAAGCTCCACATATTTGAACACCTCCCTTCAACTACTAAGAACTCTCTTTTAGACTATACTTTCACTTTATGTTTTTTATCTTGTGTATTGTGTGTCTCAAACCAAATAAAGACCACCACTATTTATAGTTGTGGATGTCTTCCTAGCAATAAATAGAAAGATTATTGTGTAGTAAATAGTGTATATAATGGTCTTAGGAGTTACATAAATTACAAGGATAATGGAGGAGTTAAGAGTGACAATGAAGTTAGCACAAATTGTTAGGTAGTGGAGCCTGATTAATTTTACGTTTTCCTATTTATTCTCTATTTTAGGCTTTCATATTTATTCTCTATTTATTCTCTGTAACAAAAAATACTCTGATTTATTAATATAAATATACCTCACCGCCGTGGAAGTTTACTCACGGGGTGTTACCACGAAATATTGAGTTTTCTCTTTCTCTCTCTAGATCTCTCATCTCTTTCTCTTAAAAGTTCTTGTGTTCTTCATTCATCTAGTGTGTGTGCGAGAATTCAATCCTAAAAATTGGTATCAGAGCTAAGGAGATTCAACACGATCACTGAACATGGATAGTTCGAAGCTTGGAATCGAGAATTTTGATGGATCCGATTTTAGTTTCTGGAAGATGCAGATCGAAGATTATCTGTACTAGAAAGATCTTCACGAACCGTTGACCGGGGTGAAGCTGGAATCCATGAAGGAGGAGAAGTGGAAACTTAAGGATCGTTAGGCTCTAGGGTTGATCCGGTTGACTTTGTCAAGAAACGTGGAGTTCAACATCGTGAAGGAGAAGACTACGTTCGATTTGTTGAAGGCACTGTCAAACATGTATGAAAAACCATCTGCTATGAACAAGGTATAATTGATGCGTAGATTGTTTAATTTACAGATGTCTGAGAATGGATCCGTTTCTGATCATATAAACGAGTTCAATATGATTGTGAGTCAACTCAATTCTGTGGATATTAATTTTGAAGATGAAATTAAGGCGTTGATTTTGTCGTCATCTCTGCCCGAGTCTTGGGATACTGTTCTTGCTACGATTAGAGTTCCCGTGGATCTGAGAAACTGAAGTTTGATGAAATCTGTGATGTTGTTCTTAGCAAAAGTATTCGCAAACGAGAAGTGGGAGATTCACCGGGCAGTGCTCTCAGCGTTGATCGAAGGGGGAGAAATAATACAAAAGGCCAAATCAACATGGTCGATCAAAATCAAAGAATCGAGGAAAATCCCTGAATAGATCAAACGTGACTTGTTGGAACTGTGGAGAAAAAGGGCACTTTCGGACGAACTGTACAAAGCCAAAGAAGAAACAGAATCAGAAATTTGGAGATGACAATGATTCTATAAATTCAGCAGAGGACATTGGGGATGCTCTAATCCTTAGCGTGAACAGCCCGGTTGAATCATGGGTTTTGGATTCTGGTGCATCTTTCCATTCATCTCAAAGCAAGGAGTTGTTCCAAAATTTCAAATTTGAAAATTTTGGAAAAGTATATCTTGCTGACAATAAAGCCTTAGAGATTGAAGGAAAGGGGGATGTTTGCTTAAAGACCACCTCGGGAAACCAGTGGACATAGGAGGATGTCAGATATATTACTGGGATCAAGAAATATCTGATCTCTGTTGGTCAGTTGGATAGCACGGGATATGCAGCAGAGTTTGGGAAAGGTTCGTGGAAAATTGTGAAAGGTGCTATGGTAGTAGCTCGTGACACAAAATCTGGAACCTTGTACACCACTACAGGGTGTATAAACATGGCCGTTGTTGCTGAAGGTGCTTCTGCTTCATGTCTGTGGCACAACAGACTTGGACACATGAGTGCTAAAGGAATAAAGATGTTGGTTGCAAAAGGAGCATTAGCGGGTCTGAAGACTGTTGATATGGGTCTTTGCAAGAGCTGTGTTATGGGCAAACAAAAAAGAGTAAGCTTCATAAAGACTCCTAGAGAGCCAAACAAAGTGCGGTTGGAAATGATCCATACAGATGTTTGGGGACCATCTCCAGTATCATCACTTGGAGGATCCAAATTCTATTTTACCTTCGTTGATGATTTCAGCAGGAAGGTATGGGTTTACTTCATGAAGCATAAGTCAGATGTGTTTGCAACTTTCAAGAAGTGGAAAGCTGAAGTTGAGAATCAGACCGGTTTGAAAGTCAAATGCATAAGGTCTGACAATGGAGGAGAGTATGACAAATCAGAGTTCAAGGCATTCTGTGCAGCTGAGGGATTGAGATTGATGAGAACAGTTCCTGGCAAGGCAAGACAGAATGAAATTGCTGAGAGGATGAACAAAACATTGAATGAGTGTGCAAGGAGTATGAGGATACATTGTGGGCTGCCCAAAACACTTTGGGCAGATGCTGTGTTGCATACTTGATTAATAGGGGACCATCAGTTCCTTTAGGGTTCAAGATTCCAGAGGAGGTATGGACATGAAAAGAACTCAAGTACTCACACTTGAGGACTTTTGGTTGCACCGCTTATGTTCATGGTAATCCACAAAATAGAGATAAGCTTGATGCCAATGCTGTGAAGTGTTACTTCACAGGCTATGGTTCTGATTTGTTTGGTTACAGGTTTTGGGATGACAAGAACAGAAAGATCCTAAGACATTGTGACGTGACATTTGATGAGTCTGTCCTGTACAAGGACAGAAAGCAGAAGGTTCTAGATACTACAATGCAAGTGGGAGTTGAGGTTGAGTTGGAGAAGAGTAACCCCAGAGATGTCGAAGCAGATACTCAACCAACTCCTACTGAATTATTTGAAGTGGAGCAAGTTACACCTGAGCAGGTTTTAAAGAGATCATCCAGATCCATCAGGGCACCAGATAGGTATTCACCTTCATTACACTATTTATTGCTGACTGATGAGGGGGAACCAGAGTCTTTTGATGAGGCCCTAGAGGTGGAGGATTCGATCAAGTGGGAGCAAGCCATGGATGATAAGATGAGGTCACTTGAGAAGAACGACACATAGGTGTTGACTGAGTTACCTGCAGGGAAGAGAGCTTTGCTGAACAAATGGATGTTCAGAATCAAGACTGAACCAGATGGCAAAAGAAGGTTCAAGGCTCGTTTACTGGTTAAAGGATATTCACAAAGGAAAGGTATTGATTATGCTGAAATATTTTCTCCTGTTGTGAAGTTAACCTCTATTCGAATCCTGTTGAGTATTGTTGCATCGGAGAATTTGCATCTAGAGCAAATGGATGTAAAAACAGCGTTTTTACATGGAGATCTGGACAAAGAGATCTATATGCAGCAACCGGAATGATTTGTGGTTTCAGGCAAGGAACACATGGTGTGCAAGCTCACCACGAGCTTGTATGTATTAAAGCTAGCACCAAGGCAGTGGTAAAAGAAATTTGACTCCTTCATGATCAAGAGTGGATTCTGCAAAGCTGAAAAGGATCCTTGTTGTTATTTCAAGAAATACACTGATTCATATGTCTTTCTACTCTTGTATATGGATGAAATGTTGATTGCAGGATCTAGTATGAGGGAGATTAACAATCTGATGACAAGG